AGGGCAATGTTCTCGAATGTTTCTGAACCCCGCCAGTACTTGGCGGAAAGGAGTCGTGGCGTGGTTCTGCATGCGCCAGATGTTGCAGAAACGCATTTCGGCAGTGTCCTGCTTGTCTCCGGGGTCTCCTGCCGGGTCTTCTCGACTCTACAGTCTGCTGGTGTGGTGCTGGTCTCTTCGTCTCCTTGTGTCGTGGTGGTCACTTGCTCGTCTCCTGGTTGTCTCTTAGTGGTCTCGTGGTCCAGGTCGTTAGCGTCCTAGTCGTCGTGGTCATCCTGGTCCCAACGCTTGTCGTGGGTGGTAACATGGCGTAAATGCTACAAAAACCGGTGACAACTAGTTGCGGTCTGTACTTTCCCAAAAAGTTCAGGCACGTTCGCATGCGACAGTGGTCGCGACTTCTGACAGTGGCAGTCTTCTGGTATGGTCTCATTTGGGGGATCTCCACTGGCTGGCGTATTATGCATGTTTGCATGCCTGCCTGCCTGCCTGCCTGCCTGCCTGCCTGCCTGCCTGTCTGCTTGCCTGTCTGTATGTATGTGTATGTATGTGTGGATGTATGGATGCATGGATGCATACATGGATGCAGGGATGCATGGATGTATGCATGAATCTATGTATGTAGCTATCTATACAGTTGCATGTACAGATGCAGTTACAGTTACATCTACCACAGCTAACATGAACATGCTCATTATGTTACGTTACGTTCCATTATATTACATGCTGTTTGTGCCTCTACAGAGTTGTTCAATTCGTAGGTGCGACATCTGTGGGCAACCACAGGGCCTCGGACGCAGGACCTGCAGCCTTTGGAGGTTTATGTAGGACTTACGGTGTGGTGCACAGGGTTCATGTTAAACTTAGCTACGGTCCAGGATGCCTGCGATTCATGACTGTGATCTTTGCCGGGTCGGATGTCTAGGATTTATCTTGCAGGGCGCCGGGTCCAGACAGAAGACCTAGAGTCCGAAAGAAGGCTTTCTGCGGGTTGTTGGGGCATGGAAACATCCAGACACGGGAGGCAGGCATATGCTGGGGAAACCGTCACGCTCTTAGCGAAAACTGAGGGGCGATTCAAAACCAGATAGGCAAGATCAAGAGGAAGGCACACTGGGGGGCTGGATGATTGAGCATAGCCGTCTTCTTGAAAATGGAGGGCGAAAGCTCCTTCCTACACCGAAGGGCCGGGAATCAAAGGGGTATTTCCTCGCGAACTTCAACGGACAAGATCTTACCCTGGAAGGGGAGCTCCGGCCGAAGGGTCGTGTGAGGTGTGTCAGAATCACGAGGAGGTCACGGTCCTTGAAGAGTCCGGCCGCTCTGCATTGCTGAAAGATCGGAATGAAGGAATACCAGGAAGATGGCGAGGAAGCCCGTGCATTGGACCGGAGGATGAGCAGGATGATGATGATGGCACAGATCCGTTGCTGCCCTTGGGAGACGGCCAGTCCGAGGAAGAGGAGCCTGGTCAGGAGGACAAGCCTGGGGAGGATAAGCCTGATGAGCCGGTGGTGAGTGGCTACGTATTTTACTCTCTCTCTGTCTCTCTCTCTTCCTTTCTCTCTCTTTCTGCACCTCCACCTCCACCTCTCTCTCTGTCTCTCTCTGTCTTTCTCTCTCTCCACCTGCCGGGACTCTCTGTCTCTCCTCTCACACGTCCCCTCCTTCCATCTCTTCCTGTCGCTCTCTCTTCCTCTCTCATTCCCTCCTTCCATCTCGCACATTTTCCTTCTCTCTCCCTCTCACTCTCTCTCTCTCTCCCTTTCTCTCTCTTTCTCCACCTCCCGGGCCCGGCTACCTGCCCTTCATGTGCCAGCCACTCGTTCCCTCCCCCTTTGCCCCCCCTCTCCGAACCCTCGGCATTTTTAGCGAAGTTGCGCGACGCCTCGCTGTTCACACAAGCCTAGCATCAGTTCTTTGGGGGTATAATGATTTTACCGACCGGCCCGGTCAACGATCCCATTTCAGGGCCCAGCTGCCTGCAACTGGTGGCCACCCAGATGTGCCATCAAATTGTGATCGCCTATAAGAGTATTCACTCCATTCAGTGGCTTTCGGATCTGTAGGGTTTTGTGCTTGCTTTTCTGGTGTGTCGGTGTAGTAGAGCTTTCAGATTGATAAGGATCAGAAGATGTTGGCTTGGACCGTGGTCGGATCTCTGCAGTGTCGTTCTTCGGAAGGGTTCCGTTGACCTTTGAAGCCTCAACATCCTATCCTCTCTTCTCAGACGTCTCCAACTCCTTCAGGTCCTGGGCCTGCTCTGAACCCCTTGGCAGGATGCATGCCTGTTGGGACTGCGACTACCATGTTTGTGGACTTTGCGAAGTCAAGTTCCAGGACCCGTGATTTGCATTCAGATAGATACGGGCAAGTTACTGTCTGCATCTGGGATGGCGTTTGCTACGCCTAAAGCAGCCATGCTAGATTTGAGAGAATAGGATGCAGCACTACGCGACAGCTGGCCTTTGCGTCGGGCTTGGGGAATGGAAGGAGCGCCCTAGATGCCATGTGTGACCACAAAAGTTTCACACAAACGATTACTCGCAGCAGCATGGCGATGTCAAACAGTCATGACTCCAAATCGATTTCAGCAAGTGGCATACTTACACCCGCTATCGAACACCACAGCCACTCTGAACAGCCGCGGTATTCCACCAAAAATCTATCTGTTCACCGTGAAGCTCTCAGAAGTTTCACTCTTCTTCGCCAGGATGCCGATTGGCAACTTGGCAAAGGGCATACTCGAACACTGTTTTGAGAATTAACCCCAAACTCCTTTACCCTAAGTTTCAGCGACAGTCTAAAACTTACGAAGCCTGGATCTGTTGCTCTTGGGCCAATCGCAGTCTCCATTGGGGTCTAATTCGACTGAAGAGATAAGATACATCTCTGTACGTGCAAGTGCCCGGTGTCGGGGCTGTGGTTCCAGCCGGCGAGGCTGGGCGGTGCCCACCGACACACTTTGTGGTTAGCAGAGAAACCCTTGCTACATGTATGAGATCTTGATTCTTCATGTCCCTTGTCGTTCTTCGCGTTGCTAAGCTGTTGCAGACTTGTTCCGGAATCCAGTGGTGTCCTTGTTGTCTTCAGTCGTCGCGATCTTTACCTGTCGCAGGAAAGGCTCAGGCCCAAAGCACATGCAACGGGATTTATGGCCAGTCTACAAACGACGGACACACACACGCACACAAACAAACACACACACACACACACACACACCTGCGCACACACACACACACACCCGCGCACACACACACACCCACACACACACACACCCGCACTCACACACACACACACACACACATATATATATATATACACACACACCCGCGCACACACACACACAAACACTAACACTAACACTAACACAACCACAAAAACACACACACACACACCCACCCACACACACACACACGCACATGCATGTACACCTATGTTTTGTACAGACACACACACATACATACATGCATACATACATACCTATGTACGTATGTACGTATGTACATATATGCATGTATGCATGTATGTATTTATGCGTGGATGCATGGATGTATGGATGTACGGATGTATGGATGTATGCATGTATGTATGTATGTATGTATGTATGTATGTAGGTATGTATGTATGTATGTATTTGTGTGTCTTATTATATTATACGTATTAGTGTGTATATATGTATATATATATACATATATATATATACACATTACATA